ATAATTGCTTTCTAAGAGACCATGAAAGAGAAGTCAGTTTCTGGAATGCCTGACATAAACTACAGAAAACAGGCCCAATTCATTTTGTCATTAGGTTATTGCTATGCTTAAGAGACAATATAATGGATATTGATTACTATTGCATGTAATTGCAGAAGTAGAAAACACTGGTACTTGCGCAGAATTGGTGATATGAGTGCCTAACTTGATCACTATTCTTTCCATTATTTCCCTGGTGTTACCTAGTTTACATCCATTAATCCTTTGGATAACACAAACGAGAGATCAGAGGAAAAAAAATAAAACAAAATTCTAAGTTATTTTTTTATACTGGATTCCAAAATACTACAAGTTTAATATGCATTAGGAGTTGTTTTGTAAGAAATCAGGGTATAAATTGCAAAAGTACAATCTTAAGAAAATTAGAAGTGATATTGCTGAATATATATGATGTACTTCAAAGAGGTCCTCTACCGAACACTCAGTGGGGCTCACATACTCATCAATGATACGGAATTGTATTTCTCACTTCTGTCTGAATCCCATTAAAATCAGTGACGTACTTTTTCTAGCTCACAAAAGAACTACAAAGTGAGAAGTTCTGTCCTTTCTTCTCAGGACCTTTATTCTCAGACAGTGGGACCCCCATCCAAACAGGTGACAAAAAGAGAAATTGAGAACTTATCCTATATTCTTCTTTCCACCACAGTTAATTAATTCAATAAGGCCCCTTTAAATTTACCTCCATTACTATTGCCTTAGCCCAGGTCCTCATCAATTCTCCAGGCTTCTAATCTAATCTCTTGGCTTTCAGGCGCACCACCTCCCATCCATTCTAGACATCAAACCCAGAGCATTGTACTTGATACCTGAATTGGGTGGTTACCTCCTTGCTCAAATCCCTTTAATGACACTCTGGAGCTTCCATATGATGATCAAATGCCTTAGCTTGGTAGACAAGGCACTCTATGATTTAAACAACCCTGTGTATTATTTTAGTCTTTATTTAATATCTAACCCAATTAATATCTGTATTATTAATATCTAATCCAATTTAACTATTTTTAGCCCCAATTAAGTATTCTCTTCAATGCCCACAGAGCATGACAAGCTTCAACACAGGGAATCACAACATTGGATCTAAGTCAAGGATACCAAGCTACATAAGGACACCAAGCTACAGAGAGTAGTAACTTTACAGAGAGAGCAGGTTAAGTAACTTACCTAAGGTCACACAGCTGGTTAAGAACACAATGGAATTAGAACCCAATGTTTAGCCTTAACTCTTAATGTCTTTCTGACATTGCTTAAAGTGAGCAAAATAATGCTGTTTCTCAGAATAAAACTTTGAAAATCCTAAAATCACACTAATCCTTTGATCTTTACTAACAAACTGGCTTTAATATGTATATACAAAATCTGTTACAAGTATAGAGCTTTCCTTTTACCCAATGTAACCTATTTTTCAGAAGTCTTCCCTTTAGTAAGTCCACCAAGACTTCAATAGAGAGAAAGCTCTCTGCCCTAAGATTAATCTTTAAATTCAACGTTACCAAAATAAAATCTCCCAAATAAAACAATGGCAGAGACAGATCTGATAATGAATATAAGCTAAGAATTGCCTGTCACTGAAATAAACTTGACTTTTTGTGATTAATAGCAAGATGAAATCTTGAAACACATAATAAGGATAAAGCAAACAACCAAAGAGAAATATCTTGGAAGGGGTCCTCTTTGAAATCTATCTGTTACAAAACAGCTTTTGTCTTTTGGCTATCATCATCAGGTGCCTATTCAGATATTCATTTTGAAATCATATACCCAAATGCAATCCCAAATTCAAAATTTGAGTTGGTTGGCATGTTCAAAATTTGCTCAAAATGAGGTGTTTTCAGGAGGAATAAGCAGTGTATCCCAACAACCATTGGGTTAATTCATCTTCAGCTGATGGCCTTCCCCTTCTGAGTCTTTAGTATCCTGTTTCTATTATGAAGTGAGAAATACAGGAAACAGGATTATGGAGCCATTTCCAAACATTAGCATGGTACTGAAAAAAGTTAGCAAAGAAATACAGATTTTCAAGGAAAGGATGGGGAGGGAAATTGGCTTGAGCCCAGTCTGTCAGAAATGGTGAGTGATCTGGGTTTAGTGAAGTCTAGTCATGTCATCACACCCTGTACTGAACTTACTGACAAGTCAGGGCACCAGAAAGGGCAAAACACATCAGGAAAACACTTGGAAGAGGGACACAAATTACCTGTTGAATAAGAGAATTTGGTTTGTTAGCTTTGATTTCAACAGACTCTTGGATACCCAGAGAATCCATCCATCAAATTAATGTGGTGATGGGAGTGTGGGGGAGATAGAACTGGAGATTGTGAGGAGAGGAAGGGAGCAGAGAGTAAGGAAAGAATAGTAAGGATTACCACTATTAAATATTTAATTTCTGGGCTAAACCAGGAAGAACACTGACCAAAAGATGCGAAAGATTACTCAGGAATTTTCATTTTAATTGAAATATAAAAACCAGGCAAGTATACATAGGGACTAGTGAAGCAAAGACAGGACAGCAACAACCGAGAGGGAGGAAATATTATTTAGCATTCATCTCTGGAATGTAAATACCACAATTACTCATATACAAAAGCAGTTTTAATTTCTTTCTAATTACTACTGAAATAATTTGTTATCACTTTATTTTTTTTATTTCTTTTTTCATCCTCATCTGAGGACATTTTTGTATTGCCTTTATAGAGAGAGGGTGGTGGGGGAGAGAGAGAGAGGGGGGGAGAGAGAGAGAGAGAGAGAGAGAGAGAGAGAGAGAGAGAGAGAGAGAGAGAATCTATCGTTTGCCTTCTTTTCTCACCCTGCCCAGGGATTGAACCCAAAACCTGAGTATTTACCCTGACTGGGAATCAAACCTGCAGCTCTTCAGTCTACAGGACTACACTCCAGACAACTGAGCCATACTTGCCAGGACACTTTATTATTATTTTTTAAGAGATTGAAATATGCTCTATATCAGAAGTCTCCTAGGATAGCTATGATCTTTCAAAAATCCAGATGTCATTTGGAAAAGAAGTTCTCTAGTAAAACACATCCTGTTTTTTGGATATTGAGAAAATTGGAAGGGTACTACTTTGTTGGATGAATTGTTATAAATCACCATGTTAATAAAGGGTGTTAATAAAAGATGGTAGGGTTGAGCTGTATGCCAACAACATACTGGTGTAGTATTGACAACGTCTGATGATAAAGAGCACAGACAGTACTTTCAATTAAAAAGATGACAGGTTTTCGAAAAATATTCTGTCTCAGACAGACACTTCCTTGTTGGTTTTGTGGCATGTAAATGATGAACAGCATTTCCCATTAAACAACTAGAATGTTAATTAATTAAATGCTATCGAGGGTGATATGTACACACCTGTTAAGATCATTGTGTAAGTTAAAAAGAATCATTTTAGGGTAAAGCCAATGACTGGCTTTAACTGAAAAATGGTTCCCATTGTGCATCAAATTACTAGAATCAATCTTCACTATCATAGTTGGATTTGCCATGACATCCTTTGCCCCAGACCCTTGGTTTGGTAGTGATTCTGGAGGAAAATTTACATTCCTTGGTTAGTTCCCTGGTCTCATGATTTTTCATGCCCTATCCACACGTGGTTCCAATACAGGAAAAGCACTTATATCCAAGAAAGGTTCTCTCCCATTCCCCATCTTCAAACCTGCTTTTCCTCCTGAATACTCTTTTAGAGAAGAAAACCATCACCATGACAACGATACGATGGGGGTTTGTTCAGGACGTGGGGATAGTTTGTGTTGAACAGAATAAGGAAAACTCAGAAGGTGGGTAATAAATACTCTATTGTGAAAAGCCACTTAGTTATACAGAACTAACTGTCCACATCAAACTTGACTCAACCAGAACACTGTCCGGGGGTGGGGGTGGGTGGGGGACACACATTGCTAGTGTAGTCTGTTCAGGGCTAATTCTTTCATCTTTCATTGTGGCTGATTGGACTCAATGTCCAGTGGTTATTAAATCAAAATATCATATTAATATGGAAAAGAGAACTTTACCTTGCCTTTTTAACTTCTAGTGGCTGTGGGATATCCAGAGATTAGCACTTTTCTAAAATAAATGTTACCATAGTCTCATTTTCTGGGGGAAAAATACTTGCTTTCTGTACCTTTTAAATTTTATTTGTATTTTTTCCCTACAAGGCAGATGATGAAGGCAAATGATTATGGAGTTGTGGGGGCTTCTTCAGTACCTGTACTGTATTTGCTTCTACAAAGAGGAGCGCTGCAGGCACAAGGTAGCAATCCTAGCCCAGGTGTAGCACCATTCTTTTGTGTATCTCAGAGCTTGAGGGAGAGCTCGACGCATACATTTAGTGTATATTTAACAATACTTTCCCACTACTGATTTCTCTGAGGAGACTAAAATTATCATGCTGTTTAAAAAAAAGATAAAAGAACACCAAAAAAAGTCACAATCTCCTGAGGTTCATTCTTTGTCTTTACCTGAGCAACCACCTAAGGACACAGGACTTTTAAAATAATGAGGAGAATCCTTTGTTCTCCCAGGTTCCATTTAAAGGGAAACTGGGTCGAAGGGCTTCCCCAGGGAAGGGGGGAAAAAACCAAACAAACCTTGGAGCCAAACACAGGAGAGTAAAAGATTTCATTCCCACCCGCCCAAAGAAGTTAATTAATTCTATTTAAGGGATATCTGGGAGGGGTAGGGGGAAGCACTCAGGAAGCCCATTTTCTGGACTATAATCTTGTTCTCTAATGTGGCTCAGACCATCATCTCCTCCCTGACACCATGGAGTAGGGTACACTGAAAACCTCTCTCAAGCCACGGGCAACAGAGCCAGCATTGCATGCATTTCTGCTCCCCAAAATGTGCGCCCTGGCCCAAGTAAGAAGTTGGGTATTGACACCTGGAAAGCACAATTAGAGCCATTCAAAGCAGCAAGTTACAGTACCTTAAGAAGTCTGACAGATGGGAGAAAGGCTGCGTGGCACAGCTTCCGGATGGTCCAGTTTAGGGGTCGAGGAGCATCAGTCTGATTCATGACCCCTTCAAAATTCCACCGGAAAAAACAGAAACTGCAAACCTGAGTGATGCCTAGAAAATAAATGGTCCCCCACGCCCCTGGCATCCCATGGTCATGTCCACATCTGCAAATTCCATTAGGGCAGAGGCTTCCTGGAACTTGGGAGACTAGTCAAGTGGCGGTGCCTGAGCCACTGAACCTTCTTGAGAAAGCCACCTCCCCTCTGCCTGCAGCCGTGCTCATGCATACCAAATGTGGCTGAATGGAGGCACACTGCCTGCTGCTTCGGGAAGCGGATGCACGGTTTTGAAGGAGAGGGGCAGCCTGCAGGAAACAGCCTGTGGTCGGAGTCAGAGCAGCCTGCTCAGAATGCGCGCTCCCTCTCCTGCTCTCCTCCCCGTAAACGCAGGGCAGGCATTGGGGGAGAACCTGGGCCATTTGCTCTGCTTGCTTGGTTTGGGGGGGAGCCAGGAAGAGAGGACAAGGGAACATCAATAAAGCCAGAATGGGGAACTTGCACTTTCTTGCACAAAGCATCTTTGAGGGGCTGGAAACTGGCACAGGGGGAGGGGCTAGGACACAGGGAGAAGGGATGACTCCGAATGATAAGATAAATACTTTCCTTTTGATTTATGTGACAGAATAAATTGAGAGCTATTGTCAAATGGATCTATACTAAAAGGGATCTCTCTCATGTTCTGGGGTTTTTATTAACTGTGATTGACGGTCCTTACCCTGATATAAACATCATACAGATGACAGACGGCAGAAAGAAAAGCAAACTAACACACACCCGGGAGCTGCGAGTTATCCCTTTCATAGAAAGCAATGTAAACTAATCCATGTTTGGCTTATCTTTCAAATGTGGCACTTTCTAAATTGGGGGTTATCCCCTTCTGGAAAGCTACTTGATACTCTTTCCCTGTGACAAAATTTTAACCCATGAGGTACCAACTGGAATGCTTTTTGTAAAAGATGGAGTTTCCTGAAGCATGGATACACACCCCCATCGTTTTCCAGGGAGAGCTTTAAGAGAGAATTGCTGTGTTGGCGTATATAGTCTTTAGACATCCTGTGGTGAGAGAATAAAGGGGAACTTTTCAATTTGAAGGTAGAAATTGGATAATTTCACTTAGAGTAGTGGAGTTCACTGGCTGGGCAAATGAATTCCCCCACAACTCCAGGCATCAGAACTCAGTGGGTGCAGCTGACCAATTGCTGCCCCGGAGAATTCCCACATCCTTAAAGCACTGGCATCTTATTTTTTTCTCTATGTCCCTCCATATAACTATATTGATTTTCTATTTTTAACTAACTTGAAGAGACTGGTAAATCCCAGATTTACAATGACTGTGTATTCTGAAGCAGAATGAGGGAGGCAAGAGCAAATGTGAAACACAGGAACGCTGATATAACTCAGAATTTGGGAAACGTGGATCCTCCCTGGGGTGTAAGGAACACCTGACATACTGCATGACAACACTACTTCCCTCCCAGTGGCCCTGTGTTCCATATCCAAGGACGCTATGCCAGAAAATCTAGTCCATTGGTGGAATCCAGACCTTTAACTGGCCTTGTATAATAGAATTCATGCATCTGAATATCTTCTATTGAACAATGTTACTTTCATAGACCCCCTACACAGTAAGTTCATTTGCTGTCACCATTCTACTTTCACAAAGAAGTAAAGGTGGCTTTAAAATAGGAAGAGCTAACATGTCAGGCATTGTGCTAGGCATGCTACATGCATTACATAAGTTCATGTCAATGATAACCTTATGAAGTAGATGCTATTATCATATCCCCATTTCACAGATTAAGCAACTGAGGTTTTCAGAAATTAGTAATGGGCCTAAAACACATTGCAATTGAAACAGGGGGCCACAGCAATAAAGCCACTGTCCCGTTTGCTGTTGTTTCAATTTTTTAATCTTATAAAAGCAGTAATGTAACAGACCTTGAAGAATTGCTCAGCATTTCTTTCAGATTATTTCTTTGGTATGACATTGATGTGGTAGTTAACACTGTGAATTGTAAAATCAGGATGCATGGTTCAAATTCTAATTTTGACCCTGGCCTTGGGCAATTTACTCACCTACTCTGTGCCTTAGAGTCCTCATCTATAAAATGGAGATAAAAATAAAATCACCTAAGGTTGTTGTGATGAGTAATGAGCTAATACCAGTGAAGAACTTAGAACAGTGCCTGGCACATACTAAGTTCCTTATACCATGATTTATTTCTAGGCAGCATGCACTGATATTGAGGACAGAAACCACTGATAATTTCCAGTAAGCACAAGTGTGCATACTTATGGTACCAGGTAATGAAGTCAAGAAAGACAGATTAAACCTAAATGCTTCTTATAAGTTACCGTGAGTTTAATAAATGGGGTAAAGACGAGGGTGGGAGACTACCAAGGCTGTGTGTTTCCTCATGCTATATTGCGGAGTGCTCATCAGATCACAAGCTGTTGTCTTTCGTTAGGCTACAAGGCTCCAGCCTCTCTAAGCTATTAAATGCTATTAAGTGGTTCTATTGCGGTTGTAAGAAGTCTGCTCTATGAAAACGCTAAAACACTGCAGTTGCCTCTCCCCTGCTCTTCATGGTGCCAATATGTTAAGGACCCCACAAAAATGCCAGCACTGTTTTGATAACAAACAGCCTTTGATCCTCCTAGCCCCTTTAATTTTTACTGAATAAATTTGGTCACAGACTAGTTAGGAACTCTGTGGAATGGGGAAGTAGGAGGATTCACAGCCTTCTCTAACATCAATTAGAGAGGAGTGCAAAACCTCCAGAGAACTGATTGGGAGGTTACACTGCAAAACAGGTAAAGATTAAAGAAGGAGGACCATGTGTGAGAGGGTTTTTTTCTTCTGTTGTTGGAGTAGTTTGTGCCAGAATTGCTATCAAAACATCTCAAGCAGGGTTTTCAGGATTCCCCACCCCCATCTTTTAGGAAAGGGTATTTTCACATAGAAGGATGCCTCCCTGGGTTTTAGAGAACAGTCTAATGAGGAAAGAATAGAGAAGCAAGCTTAGCCCCAAAAGTTAGCATCTCATAAATTCAAAATGGTTCTTTACAAATTTTATGAATGTGGATATTTATAAATCTACAGAACACATCTAGCAGTCTTAAAAGTCTGGCCTGGCCATATTACGGTAGTTTTCAGTATCCTAAAACATAGCAAGCCCAGTACATCAAATCTCCGCACTTCGAAACCTGCCCGTGAACAAGCTCTCTCTCGTGCTACATAAGCCTGCTCCCCACTGGTCATCAACACGTTTTATTTCCCATGTAAATGATGCTGAATTTAAGAACCGTGATAGGATTAAACTTCCTTAATGCTGACAATAAGCCACAGTATTGTCAGCATTAGACATTGCACATTCTTTCCTTTTGAAAACCACGGTCCCTCTCTTTAAGCACATCACAGCAGCCTGAGTGTAGCATTGCACCACGTTGCACACTGTCTTCCTTTATACCCCTTAGATATAGAAGAAGGTGACCCATGAAGGAAGGCCTAAGAAACAAAAGAAGTGACACAGCAACCAAGTGGTTCCAAAGCATCCTGCTAAAATGTGTTTTCTGTTCACAACACTCAAAAATATTCCAATGTAACTGTTCACAGTTTGTTATTATAAGATTGGAATTCATAGGTAGCTGGGTGTTAACTGAACATTTTGAGGATCTAACAGATGACTGTGGTATACTAGTGCAGAGGAACAATATTTAAGCATCTCAGGAAAATATCAGGACCAGTCCAATGATGAGCCTTTGTATGTACATAACTTCATTTGCCTCTGTATTTTACAATCTCAGCATTGACGTCTTGCTTGTTTTATGACTGACCTCATTATTTAGCTTTGTTTTGTTTGAAATTCACCCTTTTTATCAGAAATTAATTTGTGTTATGAACTCTATGGCAATGTATTAATTTTTGATCAAAAAGCATGTCTTTTCTGTTTCTTCCCTTTAACTGTACTCAAATAAAGCTATAAATATTTTGGAAATTTTAGATGTTTCTATAATATTTTAAAAAATATCAAATATCTTTACAGATTCCATTGACCTAAAGAACTGTTTTTAGTTATTTCCAAATATTTGTTCCTGAAATAGATAAAATAACTTCTTTTCTTTACTTATTTTTCCCTTTTGGCATCTTTTATGAGTAAAAGATTCTAAAGTACATTAAAATCTGTCAAAATAAATGACTCATGTTGTTAGGTAGCTTAAACAGCATTTATTCTGTGTAAAAAGAAAAGACCTCAGGATTAGAACAGTTGTCTACTCTGTTTTTGCCACAGTATTGGACATCTCAGCACCTGCTTCCCTTACTGCTAACCCCCCCGATCCCCCACCCCCAGCCATGAACACCTGCAGCGACAGCGAGCAGGTGAGATTTGGGGGCAGCCTATTCTGTGGTTGGACAGCTCTAGTTGACAGAAAGTTTTTCCTAAAACTGAAGTAAAATGTGCCTCCCTATAACCTCTGAGCCGAGTCTCTCCTCTAGAGAATGCTTCTTCAAATATATAATGACAGGCAACAAGCGCCACTCAAACCTCCTCTTCTCTGCATTGGACATCTTGGACCTTAAATCCTTCTGTACATGCTGAAGTATAGTTATTTAAAACCCTCTTCAGGGCTAGAGTCAGTAATATGTTACAGGGGCACTTTAAATATAATAGTGTTTAATCCTCTGAAATCCTTTGACTTCTCATAAATTCCTTTAGGGATCTTCAAGAGGAAGCTCACTAGTAATTTAGCTTCTTTTAAAAATTTTCTTCATGAAGGTTATGAGACTTCAGTTTAAGTAATAGCTGATCCCCCCACCCCACCCCATACACTCAAAGCAAGTGTATCAAAACCTCTTTTCTGCAAAATGACGTCCATTGTATCTGAAGCCAGAACACTTACAATTTTCCTTCCTTCCTTCCTTCCTTCCTTCCTTCCTTCCTTCCTTCCTTCCTTCCCTCCCTCCTTCCTTTCTTCCTTCCTTCCTTTCTTCCTTCCTCCCTCCCTCTCTCCCTCCCTCCCTCCCTCCCTCCCTCTCTGTCTCTCTCTCTTTCTCCTGACTCACAGAGAAAGTAGTGATATCCCCTGCAAATTGGGGTAGTAATTCTACCTATGTCAAAGAAATACTGTGAAATTAATTAGCTATTATGTGCAGAACCCTTAGAAGAGGAACCAGCATATGGTAAGAGCTCAAAAATATTAGTAATATGAAGTCATTCCCAAAGCTGCTGCTCTAGGAAAAGCAAAGCAAAACAAAACACC